GAACTACGAAAAATATTATCGATACACGGGTCCTGTTTATTCAATCAATTTGTTATTTTTTAATCGAACGAGAAAGAAGAAAAAAACAGATTTATTCAAACGAGGTTCGTAAACTAGAGGCGAGGATTATTTCGCTCGACGAGGCGCGCGACGAAAATCCGCTCGGCTGAATTCGCAGCGAGAAGCGCCGAAAAAACGACAGAACCCGAGCGAAGACACACCGAGTGTTCTTCGAACGTGAAACGAGGCGGTGCGCGTTTAACTTCCGCTGGGGGGTTGGAAGAGGGAAAAGCTCGAGTGGCTCCGTGTCCGTTCGTCGCACGACGAGTGCACTTTGCAAACAGCCACGGCGTGAAACGAGCGTCGAAACGCGAGCAGCACACCGCCGCTTCACGACCAAGGGATCACCCCGTACACCGGGGGAAAAATGTTCTTACGCTTCGAAATCCCTTTTGCCCTGCCTCTGTTCCTCATCTGGCTCGCGAGCCGGCGATCAACAGAGGCAATGGATGAAGAACGCTTCTGGACGATTTTACGGCTTCCGCTTTCTCGATACGCCTCGCGTGCTTAACGGTACAGCGATAGGGGAAAAGATTTACTCGTTCCACCGCGGGAAGATCAAGCTTTTATCGAGTGGAAACATCTTTGCAAGGTATATTCGAAAATTTCAATCGTAATTCGCACCCTTATTAAATAAGGGATCGAATAATATTGTATTAACTGTGAACAGAAGACTGATCCAATATTTCCCTGTATTCCTGTACGTGCTTAACATATCGAAGGGCGAAAGCAACCCCTATACAAGTGCCGTGTTTAGCCCTCGAGGCGTATACGTTGAGAAATTGAAGAGGGTAGGGGTGATAAATGAATGTATAGGTGATACGAGAGAAAGGACGCGAATGTTGTGGTTCTTTTTCGAGGGTAAAACTAAAGACACCTTGGGGAAAGGGAGAGGAGAAGAAACGAGCTCCGTGAAACGGACCCGGGCCAGATGTATATCTTGGAACCTAAGTGCACTGCTGGCGATGGGGTCGAATTACGGGTGCCATAATGATTCTTCGAATTAACAGGTTTTCAAATTGCAAAATCTATGGAAGGGAAAAATCATTAGCGTTTATTTATGGTAAAGAAACGTCGTGGACGAAGTTCCTTGCGTCGCGAACAATCGGGAGGAAAATTTCTGCTGACTCGGTCTCCGCTGATAGCGTCTGCGGCCATTAAAACAACAGCACGGTGCAAGTAACTTTAGACGTGGCAAATTGCACGTGCCACAAGTGTTGGAGCACTTTAGTAGGATCCAGCTCGGTTCACCATGTTTCTAGCTCTCATCCCTCTACCACCCTGTCTATCTATCTGGCGCCGATATATAACCGATAACTCGATAACCTTCTTATTCCCTTCGACCTCGTTCCACCAGCCTCGTCGACTTCTAACGTTATAACTGGCCTCGTCTTGTCTCTTAAAGCTGACGTCTCGATATTTGACGAAAAAAGCTTATCAAAAACGTCGTCGTTCGATACAATCGTGTCTTCCTTTGTTAAAAGGAAGGTTCATTTTAAAAAAGGAGACGTGAAGGAAAAAGGGATTGATAGAAATGTTTGCGAACGGTGTGACGGTTGCTAGCCAAAGTTCCCCTTATCGTTGATTAAATTAGCGATAACGAAACCCCGGCGCCGTTTTAATGGGTCGTAAAAAGAAACCGCGAGATGGAAAGGAACGTAACTGGGAATCGATGATTCTAACTAATCCACTTTTTCTTCCATTTCGATATCGATCTCCACAAATGATGGAAAAATCAAGTATGATTAACGTTTAATGAGACCCATACGACGGTAACACGATTTCAATGATCGTAACCTTAATGGCGACGAATTCGAACCGAATGTTACTGGATATTATATTCAGCTTTCACATCAAACGTCACAATGTACGTCGAGGGATTGACGTATCGACAAAACGATAAACATTACGTTCACGTGTCGAGCCGGATTTAGCTTCGTTGAAATATCGTGGAATTTTCATAGAAACACAGACGGGACAGATGAAGAAATTTCTCATGGTAGTTGGTCGTCATCGAAAAATTTCGACGAATACGAAAACGTCGACAACCTGTCGATATCGAGACGTTGCATTAAAATTCACCGGCATGCATCCGGATTAACCGAGAGAATCTTCGTGGTGTAACTTGCTGCGGCTTCCGGAACCGCCACGAAATCACATCGCCAACGCGCGACCAATTTTTGCCGCCTTCCATGAATAATTCTCGCATGAATCTTTCGATCGTTGCTCCGAAACTGGATGAAAGTTAACGTGTTCCGAATGACGAGTCTTTTAAACCTCGTCCAAGAAAATATTAGGATTTTTTAAATTTCTCATGGAATTGGTATTTGAAAGATCTGTCTTTAATACTGTGTTATTTTTTCAAAAGAAAATTTGAAAATTTTAAACGCTAATGATACGAGACAAAAACAGAATATAATTTGTCCAGTCATTATCAGCTCGTTAAGAATTCAAAGAAATCAAAGAGAAATAATCGCAGCAATAAAGATTCTCGATCTTGGCTGGTATAGAGACTTGTCGATATCCTATTTGGACATTAAAATTCACCGTGGCGTTTTCCGATTTAGCGAGAACCTTCTGGGCAACGTCGCCTCTCTATCCTCCAGCAGGAGCATCGAGTTTATGTCGTCGTCGTCGAGGCAAGCTTGTTACTCTGCATTCGCGAGCGAGTACGCCGGACATGCGGTATGAAAAATACATAATTCAGCTGGAAGGAAAGTGCCAATAATGCCTGCATATATGGCGTCCCTTCTCGATCGCCAACGATATTTCAAAGCAGTGCCCGACCATGGACACGCGCCGCAGACCATTTTATTCCGCGATATAACTCCTGATCGTGTTTGAGCTCTGACATATTGGTTCTGATAAAGAATAATCCGTTAGTTCGCTTCTTATCCACGACGAGAAGTGAACGGTTCTTCTTTCACTGACAATGCTTATTCTTTTCCCTTTTTTAATTTTCAAGTAAACCTTCTCTTCCCTTCCTTAAATAAAATCAAGGAAATTCGCCTCTTCAGACAAATGAAAAGTAAACTTCTTTCAATTCTTCTCAAAGAATTTTCCAATATAATCGAAAATCAAATACTCTCTCAAATTTTCGAATAATGGTACATTTCCAGACGCCAGACTCGTGGCAAAAAATTTGCATCAGGAAAAATACAACGCAGAGTAGAGAACGTGACACAGATCGACGATAAATCAGTCGAGATGGGAGAATGTAAATAAAAATCTTACCAAGAGGGAGTATCCCTCCAGTTTTCCATGCTATGTCGTTCCGACTGGAACTGCGTCCAATTTGAAATTTTTCATCGTCCGATAACCGATACGAGAACGGATCTGTAATTTCGACCGTGAACCAAGAAGCTGGACGAATATAACGATCCATCCGTGCATCCACCCACTCGGTTCTGCTTCATCTCGAGGGTTCTTGGATTATTTATAACTCCATTTGCCCGCTTCTACCGAGATAAATAGTGGCCACTGTAATAAATTACTCTCGGAACATTTCAAAATTGCTGACACTTCATTCTCGACGGGAGATTCTCAAAAGAGGACGCTCGTTCGTGATTTCAACGAGCGATGTACGGTCTTGTCATTTCTTCCGGAAAATTCTTGAAATTTAGTAACTCTATACGGTCCACGTAAAAGAGGTCATATTTGTGTATAGGATAAAATATATTCTGTTAGTTTTTCTATGAAAGGAATTTCTTCCCTTCGATACAAGCGACGATGTATTTACTGAAAAACCAACGAGAACCTTTCATGGTTCGGACGAGCTTAGATCAGAGATAACGCGAAAGCAACACCCCTTGGGACTTTGGACGAAAAACTTCCGCTTGAAACTCCGCTCTCTCGCTTGCATGAGTTTTCCAAGGCAACTTTCAGCTGGAACGCTTCTCGTAAGTCTTACGTGTATGTGTTTGTACTTTGTCGGCGCGCGAAGTATTTCGAAAATGTGCTCCCTTAAATGTTAATCTAAATTCTAACCCAGCGCGAAAAGTTCTCTGTTGTGCGAAAGGTTCAAAGAACGAGGAAAGATATTCGAGCGAAAGAGAAGCTGTGCATGAACATTTTTCGTGTCATATTGTCGTGAATTTAATAATCTGTAGTGAAATACAAGTGGTATTATTGAGATCGGATAGGAAATTTTGTAATATGAGAAATTTTAAACGATCATGGGTGAAACAAGATCCCATTTTGACGCTTAATTACCGCGACAATAAGCTTTGGAAATTATTAGGGGCGCGACGTGTGATTAACGCAAGCAGATTCACGCGTAAGCGGATGACGAACTGTGATCTACGGAAGCGTGATTCGTCAGCTTGGAAAATTATAATTTTCCTGTTGAAACCGGTTTCAAATAATTTTACTTTATATCCAAAAATTCGGCAGAGAGATAATTTCACGCTTTCCAATTATTTTTTAATGTTAAAAATCTCGGTCCAGATTGGACTGCACTTTTATTTACACCCTTGATATAAATTTTTAATTTAACCCCCTGAATCTTATATTTGAAAGCTGTTAAATTTGAACATCCAGCGATAAGATTAGAAGTTTGAAATTCTAAGGGTAATTAATTATCTATTAGAATCGATGAAAATAGACAAGCAGAATTTGGTCGATATTGACAGCTTAAGTAGCACTTTAATTAAAGGGTGAAATTATTGATAAACTTACAAGGTGTTATAAATAAAGGTGAACTAAATTGATCAAATATTTTATCAACCCTAAATACCAAGAGATATCCAAATGTAGGCGAAACGATACGTTTTACCGGTTCGAACAGGAAGTCCCTTTTTCTTTCATCCACGTTTTACATATAACCCCAACGAGACACGAGTAGACGTGGTATCTTTTTATCCTCGAATAGCGAGGCACTCAACAGGGTAAGTGCATAGAAGGCAAGCCGAAGTAACGAGAAAAATGCATTTCTGTTTCAGGGAGCGCGTACATCATTAGATGGAGTGCACCGCAGCTGATGGTGGTGGCGGTTCAGTATATCCTCACGGGGCCCTATATGCCCCCCTACATGCCCCAAACGGCGAATTAGGATGTGGGAAAACATAGGCCATGTTCGTCCAGGACGTACTGTCCTCTGGTACCTTTGTGCTTCGATCACTGTGGAGCCGCATTTGAAAGTATGATGCACTTTTAAAGTGCAATTGATGCATTATTAATATTATTTACTTTTTTTTAAGGGGTTTAATTCTTTTTAATTAGGTTTCATTTTCAAGTACTTAGTTAAATCATTTTACCATCGCCTGTGAAATGAATAATGAAGTGAGCAGAAGGTTAGTGTTAATAACATTATTAATTCAAATAAATTCCTGAAAGAAAGTGAACGAGCGATCCTCTGCGATACACAGATTTCGGTAGCTCGCTAATTGGCTGTTGAAGAATTAAAATCCGTGTACCTAGGCTCGATATCCGTGCAAAGCTTACGTCGACGGTTCACGGGACGCATTAGCGAAAACGGACGAAATTATTTGTCAAGCGGACGTTGTACCTTTAATTGGATTGTTAATCGTAATCGAACATTAATTAGGGTAATTGAATTTACGTATCGTACGCCGCTGGATTACGGGCTTAATTAGCATCAGATATTTATTCTGAGGCGAATTATCTTGCTGAATTATTTGTGGCAAGTAATGATGTATGTTCCAGGAGCAATATTACTGCTGTGTCGCTTCATCGCGATCGCCTGGATAATCGACGCGATTAATAACAGTCATTGGAATCTTCGTTTCATTTTGAAACGAAATATTGGCAATCTTAAATTTACTGTTAGAATTTTAATTGAAACAAAAAATTATCAAAACGGGGGTGGGAAAAAATACAATGTATCGAGAGTTAGAATCAAGATGAAAGAGACAAGTTACAGGGTAGCCAGTCCTTCCGAAAACATTTCTCTGTTCTTTCATGAAAAGACACATATCCTGGTCAACACGTAGCGCGATAAATTCTGGAAACAATCAAACTAGCCAGAGAACTCGGCACGTTGCCTTTTCTCTCGAGAGTTGAACATGATAAATCTGCCCTGAGAGAGTGCATACTCGGAACAACGAACAAAACACGTTGCGCTCTCGATTCTTCCCGGCGCGTTAACATCTTTACCTCGAGGCTCGTAAATAGAGAAGCACATAACGTTGCATCGATTACGCTCGGTGTTTCGAGAGAAACGTTAACGTAGCTCGATAAATCTCGAGGATTACACGATCTGGAAAACGAACTGTAGGAGCGAGAAAAAAAGGGGGATTAAGATCCAGAAGAATAACCGAAACATAGTCGTCTTAGAGGGAAATAAAAGCTTCTCGTAACTTGCATAGATTCGTTTCGAATGGAATCAGGAGGCGGCGACTTTTCAAGCCCGGCCAGGAAGTAGCATTCAAGTAGACAACCCTCCGAGGGGGGTGGGAAGGGATTTGATTAATGCTTCGTCACGTGAAAAATGGTAGGAACACGCTCGCGTCCTCGCGAAATCACCGGAGTAGAGAGAACGTAACGACATTGCTCTTGTTATTTTGAAAACGAACGTCATCAGAAAATTCAATTATCCAAGACGATTCCTCGTTTCATAGATGGTTTCTTGAAATATTTTTTATTCGTATTTTCTATCTAGATTGGTTATTTCGTTGAATTTTTCACCGGTTATTAATACGAAACGTCGAGTGGAATTAATTTCTTTCGCGTTCGACACGTTGGATGGTGGATATTATTCGATCCCATTCCTGGAAAAGTCGACCGTTCGATTCCGTGTCTGCGATTTATTAAAATACGTTGAAAATTCATGGCCTGGCTAACGATACGGGGAATTGAAACGGAACGGGCCGCTTCTAATTTGTACGCGATAAAAGGAGTGATTGAGCCGGGCAGGCCGGTTTAAACTGAAAATTCCATGAAACCGGACAACAGAAGCGTTCAAAAGGCCGAAATTACTATGATTCCCAGCGTGAACGTATTAATCATCAGCCCTCCCTGTAATTACGAAACTTTCCATTACCGATCGTGTAATCGCCGCGTGACGTGTAACCATGTTTCACCAGATATCGCGTAGGCGATGATGCCGCGTGAAACAAAAGAGGCGTGCACCAACGCGACGCCCATCGACACCGCTGTCCACCCTAAATTAAAATACCCTATCGTAACGCGTCCCGTCCCTCGAATTAATTGCCGGGAAAGAAGGCGCACAAAGACATCAAACGACACGTGGAATCCAATTCCCGAATACGTTTCGAGGAATATGAGCAAACGGCATGGGACGTGCTGATGGTCGACGTTAATCGGAAAGCATCGATTCCGATGCTGTCGAAGAACGGCGCTAAATGAAAATTCGAATTAACGTTTTCATAATCCGACAGAAACGAAACGCAAATATTAATAACCGAACGTGTTTTAACTGTAATTTAATTTCAACCGGATCGATGATTGAACGTTACTCGATAATTAAAATTACAACAATTCTATCAGGGGATAGGAGTAATCTCTCTGCAGTTGAATCATCTGAATTTCAATGATTCTGTTTGCTTTGCTCTTCTTTTATTTTTCATTCGGGAAATCAATGTGATCCTTTGAATCATATTGAACAGGAAACTCGTTAATTAACTCGATTCGTGGATAAATTAAACTTTCATCTCGCGAAATATTATTTTATGAGGCCCACGTGAGAATTATCTCTAAACCATCGGTGTTGTAACTTTCTCGACATTCTGTACGGAGCTGTAAAAAGATTAAAAATCCCTAACAAAGGTATTATTGATTCGAACGGGGAATTAGTACGGCACTGGTCGACGCATAATTCAGCCGAGGGAGTCGGTAGAAACCATTTGTGTGTCTGGTCTGGATAACGTCCGTAGGTTGGTCACGCAAGCGGCTCAGGGAAGCCAGTATGAAAAGTTTCGATCGCTCGAAAAGGGCTTCGATAAAGTATCATTCGGTCGGAAAGTCTTGCAGCTGAAAAGTTGCGAGCTCGCTTCGAGATTGAAAAGTTCCCTTTTTATCAGCGAAACCGGCTACGGTGCTATCTTCACGGAATACCGGATCCTTGAATAAAAATACTTCGAAAATATCGATATACAAAAAAGAAAAAAGGAAAGAAAGAAGGAAAATGGAGAAGAGGAGATGAACTATTCTCGGATAGACGGTAAATTAATAAGCTCGTCTGCACTCGAAATTAAAAGGTTCTAAATTTGAAATAATTGCATTTATTTAATTAATCTCTTCTTTCTCTATGGTTATCCAGATAATTACAAATAGAACGGGCTAAAATTGGACAGCATCGGGTGAACGATTGAAAGTTCAATGAACCTTCCTCGGAAAATTTGATTAACTTTATAAAAGAACGCAAGAAATCGTACGCGACGATTGAGAAGATTGCTGATAAAGTCGCGGCTGTTGAAGCAATCGGGGGAACAGGACGATTTCTATTTCGAAATTAGCATTTAAATTAAGCCACGTAAAATTAGAGAGTCGATTTTAGATTTATCTTTCTTGGACGAGCGTAGTCTACGAGGCGCCACGCAAAGTTTCCGCTTTAACGCAACCGAATGATAAACTCATTCAAATTCGAGCCACGAAACAGAAGATACGGCTGCGTTATAATTCGTGACGCAAACCGGTCAACGTAATTGCCTTACTTTCGGTGATTTAATTCAGAAACGTTCTATATTTGCCTCCTGAAAGGTGACTTGTCTTGAAAATATATTTCACTTTTATATTGAAACGAATTTTTTCAAATTTCTCCGGTCGAAAATAAAATAAAGAAATTAAGTCCATCTCGGTTTAAATCGAAACGATATCGATTAGAGCGAAGCAGATGTTTGATATTTATAGCCGGAAGTGGAGGATAGGCGACGCGCACGGACCACGAAACAGCGAAATATCTCGCGCCAATATAATTGTACGCGTTTCAGAGGTATCATTCCGTAATCTATGTAGTCCTGCTCGGATGGGGGATTATGTTAAGCGATGCGTGAGCGGCCACAGTCCACGGCAAGCCAGGCGTAACAGAGATACTGCTGGGTGACGTCGTTACACGCCGCAGCCGTATTCCGCGGCCCTACACGAAACCCTCGATAGAATACACGCTTCCTATTTAGATGAACGCGTCCGCGTATACACGCAACTCTGTATCGTCTAACAGCTTATACGAGCTATGTACCATTTTATTCCATTCTGCATGGATCGCGAGGAATTGCTCCGCTTAAAGGTATTAATATCGCACTTATGGCTGACTTGAACTACTGATAATTTTCATTTTTTGGCATTCGATCATTTAAATCATATACAGTTAATTATATTTGGGAAATTTAATTATTTTGTTAAAGATATTATGTGATTTATACGTTGATAAATGCTGACTTCTGAGTAATGGTTGACTTGAACTACTGACAATTTTCATTTTTTGGCATTTGATCATTTAAATCATATATAGTTAATTATTTTTAGGAAATTTAATTATTTTGTTAAAGATATTATGTGATTTATACGTTGATAAATGCTGACTTCTGAGTAATGGTTGACTTGAACTACTGACAATTTTCATTTTTTGGCATTTGATCATTTAAATCATATATAGTTAATTATTTTTAGGAAATTTAATTATTTTGTTAAAGATATTATGTGATTTATACGTTGATAAGCTGACGTCTGACTTATAGTTGACTTTAACTACTTGCAATTTTCATTTTTTGGCATTTTAATCATTTTAATCATATATATAGGATGTTAAAAAATACCCTGAAGACCTCTACACCCTTGGATAGATCATGAAAAATCGAAACGAAAAGTTCTGTAGTATTTTTCGATGGGATCAGTAGTTTAGCCAATCAGTGCGCAGCTAATCCGTCTAACGATACGAGTCAGAATATGTTTACAAATTTGCGCGCGCGACGCAAGGTCGGAGCTCAGTTCTTTCCAGTTCTTCAAACGTTCCGGTCGAGGTTAATGTACTGCGAGCCAGGCCTGCTTTGAACACGTGAATTTGTACGTATTTACTGTTTTGCTTCCTTAGATGGAGTATAATTAATTATATTTAGGAAATTTAATTATTTTATTAAAGATATTATGTGATTTATACGTTAATAAGGGCTGACTTCTGATTTATGGCTGACTTTAACTACTGACAATTTTCATTTTTTGGCATTTTAATCATTTAAATCATATTTAGTTAATTATATTTGGAAAATTTAATTATTTTTTTAAAGATATTATATGATTTATACGTTGATAAGCTGGCTTCTGACTTATAGCTGACTTTAACTACTGGCAATTTTCATCTTTGGGCATTTTAATCATTTAAATCATATTTAATTAGTTATATTTGGGAAATTTAATTATTTTTTTAAAGATATTATATGATTTTTACGTTGATAAGCCGACGTCTGCCTTATAGTTGACTTTAACTACTTGCAATTTTCATTTTTTGGCATTTTAATCATTTTAATCATATATATAGGATGTTAAAAAATACCCTGAAGACCTCTACACCCTTGGATAGATCATGAAAAATCGAAACGAAAAGTTCTGTAGTATTTTTCGATGGGATCAGTAGTTTAGCCAATCAGTGCGCAGCTCATCCGTCTAACGGTACGAGTCAGGATATGTTTACCAATTTGCGCGCGCGACGCAAGGTCGGAGCTCAGTTGTTTCCAGTTCTTCAAACGTTCCGGTCGAGGTTTGTGTTACTGCGAGCCAGGCCTGCTTTGAACACATGAATTTGTACGTATTTACTGTTTCGTTTCCTTAGATCGAGTATAATTAATTATATTTAGGAAATTTAATTATTTTATTAAAGATATTATGTGATTTATACGTTGATAAGAATAATGCCTGACCTATACTACTGATTTATTCTTACTGTAACCTTTTGTTGCATTATTTTAGAATTTTTGCTTTTCTATCGTTATTTAAAATTAAAAAGGAATAGTGACAGTCTAGAAGAGCCTGTTTACAAGGCTCTATGTTCAGTAGATGTTTGAATTAGCTCGAGGCTAAAGATTCTTCAGAGTTACCCAGCTGTAAATTATATAGACCGAGCTTCTCGACACGCCAAAGAATCGGGGTTATGTAAATTGCCCCTTAAGTAGATAATATTGAGTCCCTGTGGCTGTTATAGATAACCCAAACTTAACCCAGATCTAACGTAGACCTAGCCCAGCCTGTCCTCGCGTCATATCTTATCCCTCTCAACCCTATAGTAAGCTATCAATTTCCCAGACCTGCTATTAATTTCCAATTACCCAGGCCTCCATTCAATTTCCTATTATTTATCCGCGGCACGGAAAGACGTTCGCGAAATTAACCCTCGCGTTTCCCTGTTGATTTAATGGTGTAATGATCGCGTGAAATCATTCGGGCACGGGCATCCACGACGATAATCATTTGCACGCGATCGCAGACAATGCGTATCCCTTGACATCCGCGCGTCCGAAAGCAGACGTCACCGTGACACGCGTTGCGATTAATAAGCAGAAAATTACACGCTGGAAACAACGAGACCCAGAGTAATGGGGGTCGCTCGCGAATTCCGTTTCGTACTATTGTTACACCGCAGAAAAAATGTGGAAATTAAAAAATTCCCAGGACTTGCATTATTGTTAAGGGTAGAAAAGTTTCTATTTATTACCACTATGGTAAATTTTATTGAAAATTGTTAACGTTTAATGATTATTTTTCTCACAGACGTCGTGGTTGACTGATTAATTTATTCACGAATACAGTTGCTTGTATTTGAACATGTCGAGTAGTATAGGTCGGTGCATGGTCAGGCATAAATCAGGAATACACAGTAGCCGAAATTTATCAGGCCGGCTTCAGCTCGCAATTATATTTCATTTTATAGATTTGCACAGATGCGTTATGGCGTACGTATTTTATTGGGTAAATATCGGGACAAATATTGATCACGATCTTTTCATATCTACATTTCCATCAAATACAAGGGTCATTGACATTGCAACATGTCCAGGTCGCTGTAGATTTTTCTCTCAATTTATACATACGTTGAATTCTTTTTGGAGTAAATAAAATTCAAATAATCATCGTTGCATTGAATTGTTTTCGAGTAGCTCTCGACGGAACCAGCATAAAATTTCTGTCGTAAAAGGGAGAAACGGTAAAAAGGTAGTCAAAGGAGACGAAAACTGAAGACTCTAGAGTCTAGAGAAAACAAGAAACCATCTAAATGGACAATCATTTAAAGTTTTCGTTCAGTCGAAATTTGTTTCTTCTTCTGGCATCTAAAAGGCAGAAGTTTGAAACTTTCGGGTATTTACTATTACCGTCGAGATTTTGCGAAGGTATTTCAAAAGACCCAAGAAAGTTTTACAGAGACAGTAAAGTCCCCGGCTACCTGACAAAAATAACCAACCATCTGTCTATCTTTCCCTAAAACTACCGGATAAAGATAACTTCTGCAAAATAAAAATGAAATCGATACGCTTTTTATTAACATCAAAAATTTGATATTTCAGAATTCTCTTTTGATATTACCAGCTGGCCAAAACGCGCCAGAACAAAGGGATCAATTTAAATCACCTGACCACCGTAAATGTATTCGCATGATAGCGATTTTCGCGCTGTATACGAATCAGCATAACAATGCTTCTGAGAAGTGTAACAGACCAGAACCGGACAAGGGATATACAAGGGGTGAGATCAAAATAGGGGTGCATCTAGAGACAGAATAATTCCTGTTGATTTTTCAAAATTTCAAACACAACCAAGGTATAATAATTATAAATTCAAAATAAAAAGATTGTACAAACTGTATATTCCTCTACGTAATATTACGTCAGACTGCAAGTGTGTTAATTAGCGAAATGAAAAAATTAAATTACTCTAGCTTTCTAAAAGTAAACATACATAATTATTTACTTGCTGGTAGTGGAGAAACTGGAGTATGCACTCGATGAAATTTTAAAGCCTTTCCCCTTTATGAACATAAATTCGTTTCATAATTTTAATTTACTTTCATTCGAGATAAAATAATGCACAACTATCCAACATTCCAAATATCCAAATACTCGAAGCGTGTGTACGTTTTATAAGGACACCCTGTATATATGAAATCGGAGATTAGAGAGGGTAGGATGAGACGAGGGTTGGAATCAGATCCTGTTATACATAATCTGTGTTACGGTCCGCGAGCTTTTCTCGTCCGGTTTAACACGCCCCGTTCGCGGCTGAATTCATCGCGGTGAAAGTATTGTCTGCGAAACGCGTCCAATCTGTTGCTTCTTCCTTTGATTTCTTCCACGGTGCTACCTAAAATCGAGTTTTCACAATTCCCTTTATTTTTTCGCCCTCCGAGCATCCCGTCGCTTCCGGTTTCGCGGGAAACACCATCGCAATTTACACGCTGTTATAAATCAATTTGTTCGCAGGATGAGGAACGCGTTGCTCTACATTGTTCGACGGGAAAGGAATAAATTAAATAGTAGGTTTGAAATTCAACATGACGCTAGATAGGATTCGCTGTTTGCATTGCAGGATGTTGATTTTTTAATGAAAGCGATAAAGGCAATGGGAAATGAAAAAGAATTTCATCGAAATATAATATCTCTCAAATCAATCCGGAGTTTTAATCATCGGCTACCAAGCGGAACCAATAAAACTAACTTCATATATATGTGTATTAAAATAAAACGGGGCTACCAATTCATATTTCGTTATTTCATATTTGCCAGAGGAACAGAGCATCGAGAATTATAGAGAGATTCGGGATTGAAATACCTATCGTTACAGTTGTTCGCTTAATTAAACGCGGATTCGTCAACAATTCGTTTGCGATACTCATTTCGAGACTTGCTAATGCTCTGCTCTATTAACGATGAAAAGTCATTAAAAGACGAAGGATTAAGAAAAACGGAAAGGGGAAAAATATCCGCAAGTATATTCTCTTTTAACGGATATTTAAATCAGAATCACGCCTGGAAAGTCATGCCAGCCGATTCTTATCAGGTCTATGCTAGCAGGGTGCAACTGTATCGGGCGTCATAAAAGTGTGCTCGTTGGCCCGTCAGAACGTGAGCATAGAGAAAGATAATACCATGTAGGAGTGCGAGAGAAATGGTGAGAGTAAAAGGAAGAGGGACAGTGGGGTGGTGGTAGCCTGTTATACACAGTCTGTATCATCACTTTGCGATGTACTTGCGAGCTTTTCCCGCCTCGTTTAACACGGCCCATTCATAATAGGATGACGGCCGTAAAAGTATTGCCGGTTATCGCGGCTACCGCACCGCATAGCTGGCCAAACATTGTCCAACCTCCGATTTACCATCTACGCCCCCGCGCTAGGGTATCTATTGTCCTGAGTTACGATGCACCGGCCTCGGATGGCCCATGGGCTCAGACTTTTACCACGGACCCACCTCATAATTGCCAGATTGCCGCGACAGTACTATACCAACCCTCTACAACTATCGGGGAGAATAACGCGATAAATCTTGATGCCCGACCACTGGCACAAAGCAGTCTCTCTCGGTTGATATTAAATATCGAACGGCTAAGAATTACGCCTGCCTTCGTCAGGTATAACCATCGATAATCCCTCCTCGATAATGATTTTTATGAAATTTTCAAACTATATAAGGTGATCGTCTATTGGCTTAAGTTCTCGACCCTTTTATGAAATTTTCAAGAAATCTAAATTAATTATCCGCTGTGCCATAAATTAAAGGGGTTGATTTTCATTCAGAATTGGAAATTATGAAATTATGAAAATATTCCGTAGTTCTCCAAGGATTGAATTTCCTTCTGGAACAACCCTTTGTTTACCCTGCAGGAATTCAGGGAATAAATCGAACGTTTGTCAAACCGTTCGTGTATCGCGAAATAGAAATTCCCGTGGATGTACGTCGACGTTGAAGTTGTCCGACGTTTGTTCCGATGGAACGTACACGTAATCGGAAAGTTTGATTTAAACGCGGAAAGATCGCCGCTGTTCATCTTCCTGTCGATTTAAAGGTAGACTCGCGGAAGATGGGAACTTACGAGCGGGGCAACTTCATCGACACCGGGCCAAGTTTCCCGCGAACTTGGCGAATTTATTTCACGGCCGTATCAGCCAAGCTGATCCCGTCGAGCTTTCGAGCTTTTGCAGATTCCCATCGACCGAGTTCGCCGGAATGTTTCGAGTTTCACGTTGCTCGACTAGGCGAAACTTGCCCCCCCCCCCCGTTCGACGAATGAAGTGAAACGGGGAACAGAAAAGAAATCTTTCGGGTCGTTAAGGCGTCGAAATCCCTTAACGTCGTTCGTCTCTCGCAGTAAAGTTAAGAGAATTCCGAGGATACGCGGTCTAAATCGATTCTTTCCAAAGAGACATCCATTCTCCTGCCACTTGAAATCGCGTGAAAATTCCTGGCTGTCTTTGTTGATTTCTCTAGAATTTCTTTTTCTTTATCGGTAAAGTTGTTTCGAATGAACAAAATAATTGATTTAGAATTCGACATTTCCATTGCGGCTCCTATAGCAAAGGTACCAAATGCGAACCAATTGCGTTGGCAATTGTACCGATCCACCGACAAGAAAATCGTAAGAACAAGTTGAAAGTATTATTGCTTATACTTTAATGTATCATTATATTATATCGAATGTTTTGCGTTAGGTTTACGTGACTCGGGGTACGCAATTAATTTCGGTGCTCAAACGGTATGCTTACGAATGATCGATAAAAATGATAGCGTTAATTAATCGGGAATTTGTTGATGATCGACCGTCTTACGACTTCGTGGCTACCCTAGATAATTGCACCTCGAGGGAACGAAACGAAACGAAACGAAGCATGCAAATCGATCGTAGCCGAGAATTATTCTGCCACGATAGGTTCCTCGTTTTCTTCGTCCGCGACAGGGAAACGAGAAACAAACTACGGAGGGAATTGTAAATAGCTCAGTGTATAAACTTCAGTTCCAGGTTCATTGTATAAACATTATAAATACACGAGAGAGAGAAGCGTGAATCCGCGTGGATTCGTTCGTATCGTAACGTCATCGAAGACCAATACTGAAACGTCGTGGATCTCTTTGGTTTATTCGACATCGTTTCGATACGAGATCGACGCGAATCTCTGTAAATAATATCGATCGCATAAGAAGTGCCAAATACGTGACTCATACAGACAAAAGTAAAAAAGAAAGGTAACATACACACCCACATATACGTACGTACATTATTATACATACTCGTACAGGTAAATACGTGCAATCGAGCTCGTTCTCTGCGATAACAAGTAAAGCGAAGAGAATCCCTCGTTCCAGGGATGAAAACTCTGGATCAGAGGGATGAACGTGATAAAATAGTGAATTATCTCGGTGTTAAACGAGTGTTTGAATAATAAATGAAGTGGTAGTGGTTGCCACGAGACCGTAGTCAAACATAGAAAACTTTAAGAAACTCGTTACGTCTTTTCAGAAAGACCTTTGTTTTATCGTGAAATTTTATTATACGTTAACTCTTCTTCGGATTTCGAAATTTCATTTCATAGGTGATCTCCTACAGTCGTTATCTAAGTACAACTTCACCTAATTTAAGAATTTTACGAGGCACTAGACGGTGTGTAGATTTTTGGTATTAGAGGGGTTGATACGAAGAAGGGTTAAATTAATTGGTATATCTCGCGACATCCGTGATGAATTATTGTTTTTATCGTGCTTGGATAATTTTATTTGTCAAGTTAACTCGTGCACCGTTTTCTTGCATCTAGTCAATGGAAATGAGAAACGACAAGAAACAGATAAAGCATCGTACAAGAAGGAAAGACACGAAAACTCTAGTCTTAAGGAGGATTAACAATAATTAATTATGTCATCGTAAGTCTCGTATCTCATAGACAGTCCCATCGGTTGTTTACCACAAACTCGATCATCTCGCAAGAATACAATTATTGTTATTGTTACTTAATGTTGAAGAATGAAAATGAAAGAAATGAGAGTAAAGAATAGAAGGAAATGTGAAGATTGATTTTGTGGCCAACACTGTTCACTGTGTTCCTGTAAATAAATATACATAAACGAAGGTGTAACCTGCTTAGATTAACAAACGGCGTACGTAATTAATTTAAAAAAGCGATCGTCGAACGGAGAAACGAAACGAAAGATCGACAAGCAGCTTGTTCCCTTTTCTTCTCCGCTTCCTTCATCTTTCAATCTTCCTTCTCCTCGTGTGAAAACATGGTTATTCAGGTGATTGTTTTCCGAAATATTTTCCGTACTAGCCTTCTGTACGGCACACACTCGAGTGTCCAAGCGAGAAAGTATTTTATTAACGTCGATTTATCGGTACGATGCTGGGAAATATTTAACACTTTCGTTCGAAACGATAGGACTCATTAACGAAATTAATAATTAATAATTATTTAATAATTTAAGATTCAGGAATTTCGACGAAAGTGTTAAAGGTGTTCTTTTTTTACACTTTACACAATTTCAACGAGTTGAATGATTCTATACCAGATGATCGTTGTGCAATTAGGAAAGCAATTAACACGTTGATTGCCTACATCTATTGCTTTAATCATTGCAGTCACTAATTTTCCATTAACAAATTTTCTTCTTCCCTTATTTTTTAATCATTTGACCAAATACCAATTAATAAAAGTTCGAAGATAATTAACGTATTCCAGCGATATTATTTTTAATTATTTAATTAGACTCGATTATCGGCAATCAACAAGTTAAAGAGAAATACCCGAAAAAGAGATCCGCCAACCATAGACCTATCGATGGAAAAAGAATTCCTAAACATACTGCTACATACTGCCAAAAGGTACATTCTATCACGACACAGAGAGAATGAGAGAGAGAGAGAGAGAGAAAGAAAAGAAACCGAAAATCGCTTTTAATGTGCATCATTAACTCGCTGCGTAGTGTTACTCTAAATGTTGCTAACATTTAATATGTAAGTATAGATTGTGTTTTAACGTGTAAAGAAAAGGAAATCGGCGATTTGTTTATTTCGTCACATCAGGGGTTAAGGGTTGGGGGTGGACAATTGTGTCAATTAAAAAATATAAAAAAAAAGAGTAAAGTCCTTTCCTTTGGTTTCCATGGGAATGTGTTTTTTGTCCGCGTTATTGTACATTTTTCATAATTCCCTTATTGTGATAAATTATCTAGGTCTGTACGAATAAAGTCAGAAACCAAAGCAGAGTGTTTTCATTAATCCTTGGTTTTTAGTTTCAACAAAGAAGACTTGAAAAACCAAGGTAAGTGGCTATTGTTTGATTTAATGATAGGAAGTAGGGATTAATTAGAGGCTGAAAATAAATTATACTCTTATCTGTTTCGAAACGTATTATTATTCCATAAATGATTGGTCGTTATGATACAAAGTGTTACATTTCGTGTTTAATGTAAATTTGATGGAGAAATCGGATCTGTGTGTTTAAAAGCTAGGGAAAATTATTGGTCGCGTGTGCATTATGATAGATACTATACCATGGAATAGTGTACAAACTGAAGCTCATTGAATTCTAGAGATTTACATCGCACAGCGTTTCGTGCGATTACTACCACGAACGTTCGATGCAAATTCGTTGGGAATTTAGTAGTTTGCCTAAAAATCTGAAATATTAAACGCGGACTAGTTACGACGTGGCAGAGAACAGTGTTCTCCAAATAGAATTCCACAGTTGAATCAATAATTTCCCCCAAAATACAATGAATTCATTCGACTAACGCGCAAAATTGATAAGAAAAGATAAATTAAATTAATGTAAAATAAAAGAGTTACAATTCTTAAATTCGATTATAAATCCCCGGAAAGATCGCGAGCGGGATAGCGAGGAATGAAAGAAAAGTGGATATGAAATATCCTCGGGGGATGCAAAGTGTTTGTGACAACCAGCTAGGATGCATCGTCCTTTTCAAAAGTATTATCGACTTTATCCTTAAGCTCCTTTCGCGTGAGTAAGCATATCAAGCCTTGCGTCCCGAGCCTGGCTGATGTAAAACATCACGACTCCCAGCTCTGTCAGTTCCGTCCTTACGGATTTCGCTCGAATATCCTCGAAAGAAGCCACGATGCCCTACGTTAAAAGCTCGTCCCTTTACCCGCGACTAGTTCATTCATCAAGACTCTCCCTGTCTACGTTCGTCCGCGAGTCTGGTTTATCTTGGAATGATTTAAATCGACGTGACGTGGATCAGTTCGCTTTCAAACAGCAACTTCAATATCATGTTCCTGGAAAAAGTAAATCGCGTTTATTTTATGGGAAATATCATAAAAGATATACAGGGTGTTCGACAACAGGTGGACAAAATTTTAAGGGGTGATTCTAGAAAAACCTTCCCCTGCTGATCTGACGTTCAGTCGTCGGTGCTGGACAGGTTGCAGGTTTTAGGCGCTTCCTTCCCCTGCTGACCTTACGTTCAGCCGTCGGTGCTGGGCAGGTTGCAGGTTTTAGGCGCTTCCTTCCCCTGCTGACCTTACGTTCAGCCGTTAGTGCTGGGCGGGTTGCAGGTTTCAGGCGCTTTTTACTCGAATTTTTAAACGTTAATTACTGAAATACAAAGTCGCAAACACGATTTCGTTATTCTTGATTTTCGTCTTATTTTGATCCCTAGAATCACCCCTTAAAATTTTGCCCACCTATTGTCGAACACCCTGTATGAAAGAGTTATTGTTTAAACTGAACTCGATTTCTCAATTTTATAAATAAACAGCTGATATTTATCCGAACGTCGATATTGGCCGCAAGGATGTCAACCGCGACGTTCTCCTCTCGTCAATCCGATACCAGCTCTCTATTTTCTTCATTCCTTTATTTTCTACGCGAGCTCCTTTGACTGGCAAAGAATCCTGGGTAAGACAAGAGGTGAAAGCCTTAAAGGAAGCGTCGCCCCGATCTCAAAGTGGCACGCGGTATCCCCGAAGGACCCTTCTATCGAGGATTTGAATAATTTTCTTATTCTCTCTCTGTCTGTACCTTTGCCTCTTCTTACTTTTCGCGTCGTAGCTGGCTGTGCTTCGGTTTCTTGCGTTCTGTCTCAAAGATTTCTCCTCCGCCAGACTGTCAATTGATTTTACCCGAGCTTGATTATCCGCACCGAGGTTGAATTCGCTGAAAAACGTGATTTCCAAATTTGAAATAGATCAAAATCTATTCAAAAATTGTAAAAATTTTTTACTGTATTATACCTTTTATTGCATAGACTATCAGGTAAAGTATTTTGACTGTCGAGGGAGAAAATCAGAACGCAAAATTCGAGTTAAAATTAATCTAAATACTTACGGGGTCCGTCGATCGACAAGATTGCTGTAGAGTTTTCATTAAATTCTTGCACTCGGTAACAGCCATACTTGAACGACTACTTCGCGAAGTGGAACGTAAATGAAATCCAGCAGAGTGGTTGCTGAATGAAGTTCAAAAGGGGGCCAGAGTAATAGAAGGGGGTGAGTAGAAATGAGAGAAAGAGAGATTAGGTTAATTAAGATTGTCACCTTCGCCCGCACAGAAGCTTGTATTGAACTGGCCTTGTTACCTTCTCTCGCTGCCAGGAAAAAGCGAGCGAATAATGACTATGCATAAGGACGCGCAAAGGATTTCATATAAATGATAATGTTCCCGGTAGCTTCTTCCGTCTCCGGTTGCCAGTGTGCGATCCCCTCAAAGGAATTACAAATTTCGACCGGGTGGAAAAGAGGGGGTCAAAATTGGTCGCATGAAAAATACATTTAAAAATATATTCGTACAAAATCCACGACCCCTATTGTAGATAAAACCCCGAGTTCCCTTTCTTTCGTCCTTCGCTAAAAAGAAATCGAAGGAACCAATATCTTTGTGAATTTCCATAAATCTTCCCAATGAATTTTATCAGCGTCAATTATAAATATTTTACAAAGAACCTTAGCGTTAAATTTGATTAATGTCTGAATATGCAGACGAGTTATCGAGCACCCAATGTCTTCTTTCTCTTTTCAACCCACACTCGGTCTCACCGGTTTCCACGTCTGCTTTTCACCAGTTTCACGTGTGTATATGTAACGAAAGTTCGTAATTTACTTGAATTTTGGCGGACGTGGTGACTGTACGACACTGGCTGTTTCAGCCACTTGGCAATGTAACGAACTTAATTCGTTACGTATCCAGAGGAAACAGGACGTACGATTCTCGTGGGACGATCACACTTGCTGCAAATTTAATGGAAACGAATAGTACTTTCCTCGAGGTTTCTCTCCGTCCATGGGAAACGTAATGATTCAAAATGTAGGCCATTCGTTGCCGGTATCGAGTACAACTCTGCACAGGTGAACGCGAATTCGTGGCACGAAACAATTATGTTGTTTCATTGTAATTGAAATCAACAATATTTTTCTCCACCCTCGAGACTTCCCGCACGATACACCGGAAGCTTTCCAACTATGCTACATTTCGAAGAACTATCAAGGAGTTCAGGAACCGATAACTTTTTCTTTCGTCTTCTTGGTAAAATAGGAACTTGGTAAAATTTATCCGGACGGTACTTATACAGAGAACTACCCAAGTGTTACACTCATTTATTAATGAAACTTTGCCAGCTTGTAGAGTTCGTCGAGCTGAACACGTCTATACCCCGTTTTGTGGGCAGACGGCTAATTGTTTAAAAGATATTAATAATTAAATTTAGTTATTACTTACATTGAGAAGTATGACAGACTCACACATACAAACGGTTAATTCTATGGTAAAACGCTTGACTCGCAATCTAAAGGTCCACGGTTCAAATCCATGGTTCCCAAGTTTGTTTTTTTAATTATAATTTGTCTCTTTTTGTATAACTATTACAGCTGTGCTATAATCATTGCATTTATTAATAATTAATTACATACATTGCAATTATTATCGAATTTTAGTTTAGAATTATATAGAATTTTAATTATTCAAAAAGAAGCAAATTATCATTAAAAAAAAAAAAAAAAAAAAAAAAATGGGTACCAAGGATTTGAACCGAGGACCTTCAGATTGCGAGTCATGGATCCGCTCCGTGGTTAAACACATGACTCGCAATCTAAAGGTCCTCAGTTCAAATCCTTAG